CCAAAAAAAAAATATGGTTATTTTTTCGGAATTTTTCTGTTTTTGATGACAACTTGAATCACCGGTTTTCTGGGCGCATAAAACGTTCTGAGGGTAAATGAAGCCAGACGGAGAGGTGCCTGCGAAGCGGCAGCAGCGGCGTTCCGGTCGGTTCAGGCCACAGATTTTGTGAAGCAAACCGTGACGTTGGGACACACGCCCTCCATGGGCCGGCGTCGGGCGCCCGCACCCCTTTTTGGGGGACCGGAGGGCGCGGCGCGGCAGTAGTGGTCGCGCTCCCGAAAGGGGCCGTAAACAACGTACGTCACACCATGTTTAGCGGTGTGGGAACTTTTCACAGTGCTACACAATAACAATTAAGATCACGGTTAATGACAGAACTTTAAAAACGCTATTAAAAATGTTGCTTTATACGAGGAAATCTACACCTATGGTGGTAACGTTTATCATATCCGTCCAAAACCATGTCGATCTACGACCCTGAATTTTCGTAAAACGCCGGTAAAAACAACTGCTGCACTTGTAAAAGGGCAAACAACAAAAGCGACGCTAGCGTCGGTCTGCTCTGCTGCGCCGCCTGTCCGCCCTGCCCCCCGCCGTCCTGGCCCCGGCCGTCCTGGCCGCCCTCCACATCGACGCCGCCGCGCCGCTTTCCACGTGAGTGGGCGCGGCCGCTGCGCTCGGCTCCCCTCGGCTCCGCTCGGCGGCCGCCCCTCGGCTCGGCCATGTCACGTGACACGATTTAACGACGGCCGAGGCTCCGCTCCGGCCTGCTGCGGCCCGTTACCGGTACCCACGAGGTACCCGCAGCAGCGTACCTGTTCGCATGGCCAGGCTCTCTGGCCGTGGCGAGCCGCGCAGCGTTCATGGCTGCCTGTGGTGGCCTGCAGTTCAAGGCTGCAGTGCTGCCTGCAGCGGTGGCAGCTGCACTGACCGCCTCCTGCAGCTCCTGCAGCAGTACCACCACACGGGTACAAAGGAGGAGAGCTAACTGCTGGGAGTCTTGAGTCACTCTTCGGCTCCGGGCTTGTGTGTCGTCTGGGGTCGCCCTTGGCATTTCCAGGAGTCGTGCGATGCACTTACCGTCGGGCCGCGGCGCGGCGTCCAACCCCGCCCGAAAACACGCACCTTACGTGCGATGACAAATTTAATGATGATGCGCGCTGTCGTTTGGTGGCGCGGCAGTGTATACATAATAAGAAGTGAGTCATTACACCCGAGAACGCCGCCGCTGTCCTACTCGCTGGTCGTGCTCGAGAAACAAAGCGAAGGCCTCGTTTCGTCAGTGGAGTTAGTTACTGTAGGACACCTTAAATGTCTTTTTACATAAAAGATTCGACTAAGGGGGAACAAACATTATAAAATGATATTTTGAAAAATATGAGGAGGAGGTTACTGTTGCATGCGGCAACACTCTGCGTTGCTTATCCTCTGTGATTGTGACTGCTGGCCTGTTTGTGAATTATTTGTGGATCGCCATTAATATCGCCTCTGCGTGCGTCACCATCGCCGCCGTTGCAGCGGCAGCAACACACCCAGCAGCAGCGCTAGCACCTCGCCTCGTCGTCGTGGTCGTGAGTGACTCACACCCGCTGATGTGATGTCGGGTTTCGTTTCTTCTCAACATATAACCGCTTCCGTGCGACAGCTAAAGAGAGACTGGACCATAACCAAGGTTATCCGACCCGCGGCGGCAGTGGGGTCCCGGCTAGAGGAGACGTATACATATCCGCGCGATGAGACTCGCGAGCGGCCCAGTCATATCTACGCCTGCCTGGAGCAAGGGCGAGGAGGGGTAAAAGGGTGTGTGTGGGAGGCGGGAGGGGGGGAGTTGAGGTGCCGTCTTGTGGGAGTGACGAATGGTTGCGCAATTTTGCAGCACGTGATTGTGGGGCACCGGGTAACTCATACCTGCTCATACACACGCCGCTTATTCACCGCCGCATCAGCCATCAGCCGCCCATTGTCTCTCCAGTTCGTCTCGCAGTATTAGAGGTTTGACGCGTTCATGGAGGGGAGGCATGACATTGGGCGAATTGTTCTTTTGAACTGGATATCATTATGTCAATCACCCACGACAATCGTTAGGATGTGATACTGTTGCTCTTAGATAGAAGCTGATACTCCATGTTTAGAACTAAGGAAAGTCCAGTGAGAGGTGGTAGATGTATCACGTTAGGATGTGATGCGTCTGGTTACGCATTAAAGAGCAAGTCGGTGGTTCATATTATTGATTCGGTGATAAAGAGCGGAGCGACACAGCGGGTTCGTACGACCTAAGAGGCCCCGTGCAGAAAAGAGAGACACTAGTGTTCATGGCATACACACAGGGTTTATTCAATTACTCACAGTGGTTGGTTGGTTTACACACAGTGGCATGGTGGAGGTACAGGTAGATGTTGATATCCATACGTTACAGCTCTCTGGTGATGGTGACAAACTTACTGACTATCGGACTAACCGAGACATGAGGTGGCAGGGGGCCGGACACGCGAGTTGTGCAGAGCTTAATGCCGGACGGCTGGTACTGGTGGTACTGCTGGTACTGGTGGGAAACTGAGGAGGATCCCCATTTATAGAATCGAACACGAGCGAAGGGGAAAGG